AACAATATATACTAATTTTTAAAGTATCAAATTGAATTTTTGTACAATAAAAAATCTTTCAAATGCGACTCTAGCTTTTTTCCCCAAAAAACTTTGTCTTCAAAATAAGGGTGCATCTTATATTCCGAAAAATATGGTATTTGTTTTTCAGATATTCATGCAAAGCTACTCGGTAACTACCTGCACTAGCCTGTGTCCATAAGTTTGAACTGATAGACTAAAGGGAAGGTACAGTAACAGGAAGCGAATGATGGACTTCAGATCTATAGTCTAGGAGGCTGACTACTGGCCCATGCTTGGCTGCTTTCCCACTACTTGACCAAACAAGAGTAGCCCAAGAGTTTGTAGTGAGGGTTTTTGACTATCTATCCTCCCTGTAGTCTGTAAGTTTAAAGTTAGAGATGACCATGAGCAAATATTTCGTTGCATATAAATGTTTCCAAATATCTCAAACAAGCAAACAAGATTTATAAGTAATGGGTTTCACTAACTTTTCTAACCATGGATTTTAAGCAACTTGTTATTATTACTAAAAGATATTACTTAAAACCTTCAAGTCATAAAATATTCAAGATGTGTAAGGACCCAAAGTCTGAAATGCTCAAGTAGGGTGTAGCTTTTATGAACATAGTGGAACAATGTATCTCAGACTTTTCAAGGATATTAAAAGTCAGATTTACGTCATACTGAAGATTTTCATTTTCTAGTAGAAAACTTAGGAATTAGGTGTTAGTTTTTAAAAGATGAATATCTTCTGAAATTAGAACATTTTGGATTTGAGTTTTGCATAAAAAAATTAGAGGAAGGATAAAAATATTAGTGTTGCTGCATTTATTATTAAGTAACTGAGTAGTATGGTTAAATATTGTTAAGTTTTATTTTGTGTTGATTAACACTGCAGTAATTAATGGAATTATTTGCAACATTGATGGTATTTTTGTTAGGGTGCAAATTGGCCCTGTTGTAAAGCTCTGGATTTTGGAGCTTGTGAGTTGGGTTTCAATTTGTGTGATACTACAAAATATACCCATCACTTTAAACTGTGGGTGCATTATGAGAGTGACTGACGATCTCTTAGTGTGGATGATAGGGGCAGGATGCTACTGACTGGCTGCCTACTCTGGTCAGTACTTCAACATTAGGGCAGATAGCCATTGTATAACTTTGCCATATATAGAAAATACTAATACTATGTATTGTCGTTTATTTTTATTTTCTTCCGTAAATAATTAAAAAAAAACCAACTAAAACGCCAGTGTGGCCTATGTGGACCCAAATAGTAATTCTTGTGTTAATTGATAGGTGCTTCTAATTTTACTGATTTTTCTCATCTGATTTCTATGAAAGCCATGGGTTAGCACCGTCGTTTCTTTATTTATCGACTTTCTTCGTGAAACGTTTCAGTTTTGTTTGGTTTGTTTCCGATATTCCCACAAAGTACACAATACCTATCACTATCAGCGTTAGCCATCCCTAATTTTAAAACTGATAGACTACAGAGAAGACAGCCAATCAACTGAACCCACCGCCACTCTTGGAACACTCACGTTTTATTGACTGGTGGGATTTGACAGGTACTCTTATAACACACCCAAGGACCCCAAAATGCGGAGCGTGATTTTGTGCCAACAAAACACGAACCGTGTATTCACAGATTAAAAATCCGGCACGCTAACCACTAGGCTACTACTGGCTTATGTACGATGCAAAGCCTGCGTAAAATATTAGATGCTTTTAATTTAACTATCATTTCAAAATTACCTTCTATAAATTAACTGCTAGTGACATACCTTTATAGGCCTATAGTGAAAAAGTGGGAAACGAGATGTTATAGCACCAAAATTTTGACTTTTATAAGTAAAACAAAAATGGTTTGAGAGAGAGAAAACTGATTTTTGCTCCAACTAATATACATGTCAGTAGAATTTGTTGGTTAATTTTTCGAGTTATTAATAATAAGCCCCCCAGTGGCACAGCGTTATGTCTGCGGACTTACACTGCTAGAAACCGAGTTTCGATACCCGTGGTGGGCAAAGCATATATAGCCCATAATGTAGCTTTGTGCTTAACTACAAACAAACAAACATTAATAATAAACGAAAAATTAAAACAGGTCCAGAAACAGCGTCCTTCTTTTTACGAAATCAAACGATTTTCTCTGACAGTACGAAGTTTAGGAAAATGTTTATTTCACAATACAATATTCTCCTTTGATTTGGGGTGGGTGGAGGTGGGAGTGAATGACGTTTTACAGTAGTACTTGCTATGTTTAACAAATATTTGTACTTCTGATATTATTTTTAAGTAAACCTATACACACACACACACACACACA